CTATGAAATACACCTACCACTCCATTTCACAACGAACTTGGTACGAAACCTGAATTGTTCGATTTCGGGGACCAATCGATATCGGGTTGAGTCCAAAACTTGGGGAACATCACAATATGGTGGGATGGAGTCATTTGGTTGGGTTTTGAGTGAAATCCAACAGCTAAAACTATGCAATACACCAACCATTTTTTTTCAGAATGAACTTCGTACGAACCTGAATTGTCCGATTTCATGGACCAATCGATATCGGATTGAGTCCAAAACTTGGGGAACATCACAATATGGGGGAAGGAGTCATTTTTTGTGTTTTGAGTGAAATCCAGTAGCTAAAACTATGCAATACAATACACCAACCACTCCATTTCAGAACGAACTTCGTACGAACCTAAATTATCGAATTTCATGGACCAATCGATATCGGATTGAGTCCAAAACTTGGGGAATATCATACTACTGTGGGAGGAGTCATTTGTTGGGTTTTGAGTGAAATCCAATGGCTAAAGCTGTGCAATACACCAACCACTCCATTTAAGAACGTACTTCGTACAAACCTAAATTGTCCAATGTCATGGACCAATAAAGATCTGGTTGAGCCCAAAACTTGGGGAACATCATAATATGGTGGGAGGAGTCATTTGGTGTGTTTTGAGTGAAATACAATTGCTACTTCGTACGAACCTGAATTATCCAATTTCAAGGACCAATCGATATCGGATTGAGTCCAAAACTTGGGGAACATCATAATATGGGTGGAGTAGTCATTTGGTGTTTTGAGTGAAATCCAATGGATAAAACTATGCAATACACAAACCACTCCATTTCAGAACGAACTTCGTACAAACCTGAATCGTCCAATTTCAGGACCAATCGATATCGGATTGAGTCCCAAAATTGGGGAACATCATAATATGGTGGGAGGAGTCATTTGGTGGGTTTTGAGTGAAATCCAATGGATAAAACTATGCAATACACCAACCACTCCATTTCAGAACGAACTTCGTACAAACTGAATCGTCAATTTCACGGACCAAACGATATCGGATTGAGTCCAAAACTTGGGGAACATCATAATATGGTGGGAGGAGTCATTTGGTGGGTTTTGAGTGAAATCCAATGGATAAAACTATGCAATACACCAACCACTCCATTTTAAGGACGAACTTCGTACGAAACCTGAATCGTCCAATTTCAGGGGCCAATCAAGATCGGGTTGAGTCCAAAACTTGGGGAACATCAAAATATGGTCGAAGGATTAATTTGGTGAGTTTTGAGTGAAATCCAATGGCTAAAACTATGCACAACACCAACCACTCCGTTTCCGAATGAACTTAGTACGAACTTGAATTGTGTGATTTCATGGCCCAATCGATATCGGGGTGAATCCAAAACTTGGGGAACATCATAATATGTTGGGAGGAATCATTTGGCGGGTTTTGAGTGAAATACAATCCCTAGAACTATGCAATACACCAACCACTACTTCTCAGAATGAACTTCGTACGAACCTGAATTGTCCGATTTCATGGACCAATCAATATCGGATTGAGTTCAAAACTTGGGGAAGATCACAATATGGGGGGAGTAGTCATTTGGTGGGTTTTAAGTAAAATCCAACGGCTAAAACTATGCAATACACCAATCAGTCCATTTTAGAATGGCGTGAGAAATAACTAACGCACAAGTTAAACCTTATAAATGATGCAATCGTAGTACGAGTAAGTAGGGATCGTTCTATTCCGGGGATTAGGAGGGATGCTAATCAACACAAATTAAACTTATTAAACTGGAAACTAAGTTAAGGGAACAATGATTGGGGGGAATTCTGACGATTTAGACTAAAGTAAGACTTACAGCAGCAAACAACTAAGTTGTGAATGAAATATGGATTAAGGGATAGCTACAGGATTCTTCTCCACACATGGAACATTTGCACACAAATCGATCTCCAGTTACTCTTTCTTTAAAGTATGAATGACAACGCCCCAAATTAATTGAGAATGCACTAATTAACTCTCAGATTTTCCTAAGTTCATTGAATTAGACTCAGCGACTTAATCAAATTATCCTTATCAAGTTCCCTATATGAACAGCATGATAGAGATACATATCATAAGCCTAAAACCCTAAACCCTAAGTTCTATGAAAATCATAAGCCTAGACAAGGCATTTGTAACTATGAAAAGCATGATACTCCTGCCAGGAATTTACTTAACGCAATCATGACTAGTGACTTTTACTACTTGTGAATATAAGTTCGTAACGATTAGGTGAAATTCCCTTATATTCTAGCATCAAATCCCTGCATGCAAACTAAGTATGCGTCCTTAATAAACATACAAGAATAAGTTCTCAATAAAACAGAAAAGTAAATCACATGCATACTTTATGAAACCATAATTGGAAGTAATCAATTCATATAAAACATATGTCCATGGCTTCGAATTCACCTCTAACTAAGAAGAAATTCAGTCACACATGTTCATAATAATTGAAAAGCAATCTAGAATAAACATTTGAACTAATTAAGGGAAGAACTCTGAAAAACCCAATGGATGCAGCAGGTTCCAGCTCCAAGTTCTTCTTCCCTCTTTCTTCTTCTTGCTACTACACAAAAAACTCCCTTCTCCTGCAACAACCCCTCCTTTATATATCTGGTATATCTAGGGTAAAAGGGCCCAGCAGAAACCCACGAAATTAGGGTTTTGTTTGGCAGATTTCTTTAGGAACAAAGATAGGGCCCAACAGAAACCCACGAAATTAGGGTTTTTAGGTTTCCTAATCTGAAATTAATCCCCCCCTTTTCCAGCTGGAATTTAGGTCGAATAGGATTAGGATAAGGTAAAATAAAATAAAATCAGTTAGGGTTTTTTACTTCCCAGAAGCTGATTCTTGAATTAATTTCCCCATCTTTTTAGCACATTCCTAGCCTCTTCGAACTTCAAAAACGTCCATCCATCTTGGCCCATGCATATGCTATCCATTCCAAGTCCAAAACTGCTCTAAAATGCTCCAAAATGCCCTTTCTTGCCAATCTTGCCATCTGGACCTACAATAGTACGAAAATAAGCTAAATCACTCTAATAAATGGGAATTAACTAAGTAAATGCAAAGAAATAAGATAGCAAAGTCGCATAAATATGCTCCTATCAAATTCCCCCACACTTAGCTTCTGCTAGTCCCTAGCAGAACAAAGAAAACAAAACAAAACCTAAACCTTCCAACAATTGCCTCAGGGATTTCCAATGAAACATGACATGTTAAAAAATCACTACTCACACAGATTTGAGCCATCCTTACCCTCGAGCTCATACTTAATCACAGTAACCACTCACTAGCTCACATTTAATCAATTAAAACAACATTTGAAAGTGGTAATATGCCTTAGAGAATTCATTCAATTCCTCACCCAATATACTCTCTATTTTCACACAAATTTTCTGACTACACTCCCTAGACTAAGTATATGTGAGAAGATTAATGTAAACGTGTAGACTACTAGCACTCACATATGTTATAACAAAGAAAGCACTTTCTGGAATTATTAATACAAACATGTATATGATCTCATGAACGGAATGCTACTACTTAGAAGCGAGAACCAGGGATTCCATAAGCTCATACCAATTTCAAAACTCCACATATTGAAACACATAACAATCAAGATAAAAGTCTAAGGGTTGTAATGGGGCTAAGGTATTGGCTAACAAAGAAAGGTTAAGGATAAACAAAGGTTCTTAAAGTAATAGTAAACAGAGCAATGAAATCAACACTTGGAATTCAACTTGTGATTGCAGCACCCAATTTTTAGCACAAAGGGGAGATTTATACAACTTTAGGGTTAGATTCACATATCTGGCCCTTCTTTTTTTTGGTTTTTTTTTGTTTTTTGGACAACACTACTCCAAAGGAACAAATCCTTCCCCCACACTTGTTTTTTTGTTTTTTTTTCTGCAAATAGTAAATCAAAAGGAATTCCCAACAAGTCATGCATCACTATTCTTTAAGAACAAGGGTATGGATATTCTTATACTAGGCTAGGTAGGGATAATGCAAGCTAACAAAGAAAATAAGCTAAATAAGGCTTCAAAAGGGTTAAACCTACAATGCATATGCAAGGGATAAGGCTTTTTGGCTCTGATAAACAACTTCATCTTGTTATTTGTTACGCAATCAATTTGATTCTTTGAATGGAACGGGCATGAGTTCTAGTATTTGGAACTAAAGTGATGAAAAAGCATTCTAAGTAGCAACCAAGCAAAGAAATAATGAGATCATGCAATGACTTTAGAAAACAAGAATATCAAGATTAATAACTCTCCAAACAAAGAACAGGCTCAAGTCTCTCAAGGTTGTAGCGTTAGTTTGAGTTCCTTCCTTCCAGCATGTTACAAAAACTGATTATCTTTTTTTTGTTTTTTTTTTTTTTTTTTTTTTTGTGTGTGTGTGTGTGTGTGTGATTACATGTGAATTCATAATTGACAACTATAACTAAGTATTAACCGAAGAGCATATCAGACTTCCACCCATGTTTGTAACTTTCTTTAAAAGTCATGCAATTAAAAAACAAATCCTCATCATTGTGTTTTAAGGTACCCTAAGACACAAACAAATAACAAAAACGACTCTTGACTCTTTTTTTTTTTTTTTTTTTTTTTTTAAATAAAGCACGAAAACACTTTTAAAACAGTGAATAACAACATTAGTAGAGATAGGTGGTGAATTTTGAAAATAAATCACGAAAAGCACTTTGTTTACCCCCCACACTTAAACTTAAACATTGTCCTCAATGTTTCAAAAGAAAACTTTACACAAGAAAGCAATAAGAGACAACTAGCAAACAAGACAATCATAGCAAAGTAAAAATAATAAAGAGAACAGTAAAAGAGAGCAAATCTGGTTGTAGAGCCCGAAGATTCCATTGTCTTTCTATTTGAACACATGGGTTGCCTCCCAAGAGGCGCTTGCTTTAACGTCTTCTAGCCGGACGGTACCTCCCTTTAAGCTTCACTAGGGCCAATGGCATGGAGGGGTACATCCTCCACCACATGCTCCTCAAAAGACTCATAGTATGGCTTCAAACGGTGTCCATTCACTTTGAATTCATGTCCCGTCTTAAAACTTTGAATTTGGACTGCACCATAGGGAAAAACATTAGTAACAACAAAAGGACCAATCCATTTAGAACGCAACTTACTCGGAAACAAACGAAGGCGAGAGTTGAAAAGTAACACTTTCTGCCCCACAGAAAACATTTTACTACGAATCATCTTGTCATGGGCAGCCTTTGTTTTCTCCTTGTAAATATGAGCGTTCTCATAAGCTTCAGTCCGAATTTCCTCAAGCTCATTCAATTGCAATTTCCTATGAAGTCCAACGGCATCAATGTTCATGTTGAAAGTCTTGACTGCCCAATGTGCATGATGCTCCAACTCAACGGAAGATGGCATGGTTTCCCATAAATGAGCTGAAAAGGAGACATTCCAATTGGTGTTTTGTAGGCAGTACGATATGCCCACAATGCATCATTCAACCGCAAGCTCCAATCCTTTCGAGTTGGTCCAATTGTCTTTTCCAAGATCTGCTTGATTTCCTGGTTGGAAATTTCAGCCTGTCCACTTGTTTGGAGATGATAAGGTGTTGAAACCTTATGCGTGACATTATACTTCTTGAGTAGTGCCTCTACGGTCCGATTACAAAAGTGAGAACCCCCATCACTTATAAGTACTTGTGGCATTCCAAATCTTGCAAATATGTTAGTTTTAATAAAATCTGCAACCACTTTGGAATCATTGGTACGGGTGGCTTTTGCTTCCACCCATTTTGAAACATAATCCACAGCAAGTAAGATATAATTAAAACCATGTGAAGAAGGAAAAGGGCCCATGAAATCAATACCCCAAACATAAAAAATCTCAACAGAAAAGATAGGGGTTTGTGGCATTTGATCTTTTGCACCTATATTGCCCGTTCTTTGACAACGATCACAAGTCATACAAAAAGTTCTAGCATCCTTAAAGATAGTAGGCCAACCTGCACCAAACTAACGCTACCAAAGTGACCCCCACATGCATAAGTGTGACAGAAGGTTAAGATTGAATTAAACTCAGAATCATGCACACATCTACGAATACTTTGATCAGGGCAATATTTCCACAAATAAGTCATCCCACACATAAAACCGTGCCATTTTTTTAAGTTTATCGCATTGGTGCCTAGTTATGGTGCTTGGAACTTATTTAGACACAATATAATTCACAATATCAGCATACCATGGCTCACTTACCTCAATGGTCAACAATTGTTCATCTGGGAATGCCTCTAGAATAGGTAGAAGGTCTTCTTCATGTACCAAACGGCTCAAGTGGTCAGCCACTACATTTTCACATCCTCTTTTGTCGCTAATTTCCACGTCAAACCCCTGAAGAAGAAGCATCCAGCGAATAAGCCTTGGTTTGGCTTCTTTCTTTGTGAGTAAGTACTTCAAAGCTGCATGGTCAGAGTAAATTATAACTTTAGTACAAAGTAAATAAGAACGAAACTTATCTAAAGCAAACACAACAGCAAGAAGTTCTTTTTCAGTGGTGGAGTAATTCAATTGAGCATCATTCAAGGTTCGGGATGCGTAGTAGATGACGTGTGGCTTCTTGTCCTTCCGTTGTCCCAAAACAGCCCCTAAAGCATAATCTGAAGCATCACACATAAGCTCGAACAGAAGGCTCCAATCTGGTGGAACAATGATAGGTGCCGAAGTTAACAATTCTTTGAGGTGATTGAACGCCTTCTCACATTCGTCATCAAACACAAACGGCACATCCTTTTGTAGAAGTCGGCACAAGGGTGTTGAAATCTTCGAGAAATCTTTGATAAAACGTCTATAGAATCCTGCATGTCCAAGGAAAGAACGAACCTCTCTCACCGAAGTGGGAGAGGGTAAGTGGCGTACAAGACCTATTTTTGATTTATCAACTTCAATTCCCTTTTCTAAAACTATATGTCCTAAAACTATGCCTTGTTTTACCATGAAGTGACATTTTTCCCAATTTAAAACAAGGTTAGTTTCAATGCAACGTTTTAATATTGACGTGAGATTAGTTAAACAGCCATCAAAAGAGTCACCAAAGACACTAAAATCATCCATGAAAACCTCAATAATCTTCTCAACGAAATCGGAAAAGATACTTACCATGCATCTTTGAAAGGTGGCTGGTGCATTACATAAACCAAATGGCATTCGTCGATAAGCAAAAGTACCAAACGGACAAGTAAAAGGGGGCTATAACAATCTGATTATATCCTAGATAGCCATCAAGAAAGCAATAAAAGAATGACCGGCTAACCTTTCAAGCATTTGATCAATGAACGGCAAAGGGAAGTGATCTTTCCTTGTTGTGGCGTTGAGCTTCCTATAATCAATGCAAACTCTCCAACCTATTTGGATACGAGTGGGGACAAGTTCATTCTCTTCATTTTTTACCCCAGTGACTCCTGATTTCTTTGGTACAACTTGAACCGGTGAAACCCAACGACTATCCGAAATTGGGTAAATGACCCCACAATCGAGAAGCTTAATGATCACCTTTTTCACAACTTCCATCATTGGAGGGTTGAGTCGGCGTTGAGCCTCTCGAGTTGGTTTAGCCCCCTCCTCTAGAAGTATGTGATGCATGCATGTTGTAGGACTAAGTCCCTTGATGTCGGCTAAAGTCCATCCAATGGCCGTTTTGTACTCTTGCAAAACCCGAACTAGTTTTTCCTCCTCCATTGCCATGAGTGATGAAGAGACTATGACGGGCAAAGTCTCTTTATCTCCCAAGAAGACATACTTCAAATGATTTGGTAACAGTTTAAGCTCGAGAGTGGGTGCCTGAATCACCAAAGGTAACAACTTGTTAGTAGAAACGGGAATTGGGATTGGGATTGGAGACTTACCAACATATTGTGGCAGTGACTCAAGGGCAGCCACCATCTCGCCAATTTCTTCATGATTAGGTTCGGCCCCATTTTGATGAGTTCAATTCCTTGAACAATGGTGGTTTCAAGGGCATCCCTATCTAGGTATTCGAGATATTCCTGCGCCAAAGAATCAAATGCATCAATAGAGAAACACAAGTGATCATCAACAGGATACCTTATAGCTTCAAAAATATAGAAATCAATGATATTGCCATCAAATTCCATTGTCAACGTCCCCTTGAACACATCGATCTTGGTTCGGGCTGTTTTCATGAAAGGTCGTCCAAGTAAGATTGGCAATGGTGTAGAATGGGCCAAATCCTCCATCTCAAGCACATAAAAATCTGCTGGAAATATCAAGTGGTTAACCTGCACCAAAACATCTTCCAAAACTCCTTTCGGATATGCATTAGAACGATCGGCTAATTGAATTATAACGCCACCATTTTTAAGCTCTCCTAAGTTCATAGATGCATAAGTAGAGTATGGCATGACATTAATGGAAGCACCTAAATCTAACATGGCATGTTCAAACTTGGTGTTACCAATAACACAAGGGATTGTGAAACTACCTGGATCTTTGCATTTAGGTGGCAGTTTTCGTTGCAAAACTGCGGAAACATTTTCATTTACCCTTACCACTTCTTTGTTTGAAATCCTCCTCCTTGTTGTACAAAGCTCTTTCAAGAATTTAGCATATCTTGGAACTTGCTTTATTGCGTCAAGAAGTGGGATATTGACTTGTACCTTCCTGAAAGTCTCTAAGATGTCCTTTTCATTCTCTTCTTTCTTAGATTGCATAAACCTGTGAGGGAAAGGCACATTTGGTGGGATAGGGTTAGAATGAGTTGAATTTGGAACAACCTTACCTGAGTTTGGTTGTGTAGGAGCTTTGGGGGACTGCAGCAAGGGAGCTTCTCTTTGAGCAGCAGCTTTTCGTTCTCTTTTGAGCTTTGTTTGGAAATTTTGGGATTGGTTCCAATCTCTTTACCACTCCTCAAGATGATAGCTTTAGCTATTTCGAAACCTCCTTTTGGATTGACAATGGTTGAGCTAGGTAGTTTGCCTTCTTCTCTAAACTGTCCCATGAACTCAGCCATCTGCCCAATTTGCTTCTTCACTTCGCTCATCTCTTTGGCTTGATTTTGTAAACCCTGAGTCAAAGAAGTTAGTACTTTAAGCATTTGATCATTATCCAATGGCGAACCTGAATTTGATTGGGCAGTTTGTGGTTGAGGCTGTGGTGGTGCGAACGGCCTTTGATAGAGCCCTGGAGGTGGCTGTCTATATCCACCTTGTTGTTGTTGTTGAGGCTCCCTCCACTTCAAATTTGGATGATCTCTCCAGCCCGGATTGTAGGTGTTTGAAAACGGGTCATACCTAGGTTGATTTTGGCCTTGATAACCTACGACATTGGCACTTTCCCATCCCCCATTCTCTATTAATTGAGGACAATGATCAGTGGGGTGTCCATGCATAGAGCACACGCTACAAGTGGCTGTACTTTTCACTTTGGATCCTTCAACAACCTGCGAAATAAGAGTAGAGAGATTAGCCATTTGAGATTGAAGTTCCGAAATAGCACTTACCTCATTAACTGGACTTGGCCGTGTATGATCTCTCCCTCCAACTCCTTCGTATTGTTGTGCATTCAAAGCTCGGTTTGCTATTAAGATCTTCGCAGCAACTGGTGTTTTGTCAACCAAAGCACCTCCCGCTGAAGCATCAAGCATTTGTCTCTCCAGTGGAAGTAGTCCTTCATAGAAATATTGAATTAAAAGCTCTTCCTTCATTTGATGTTGTGGGCAGGATGCAACTAACGTCTTAAAACGCTCATAGTACCCTGGAAAGGATTCTCTCGGGCCTTGTTGAATTCCACTAATTTTCTTCCTCAAAAGAATGACTCTTGAAGTTGGGAAGAATTTCTCTAAGAATGCTTTCTTAATACTTTCCCAAGAAGTAACGGTTCCAGGTGCTAGTTCATAGAGCCAATCTTTAGCCTTGTCCATAAGAGAGAATGGGAAGGCTTTCATCTTCAAAATATTCCCATCCACGTTAATGGGTGTCATACTTGAACATACTACTTCAAATTCCTTCAAATGCTTGTTTGGATCTTCCATGGACAGCCCATGGTATTTGGGAATGTGATGTAGCAAACTCGACTTCAATTCAAACTCATCGGTCTTGCCTGCAGCTGCCCTAGGGTATTGAATGCAAAGAGGGACTGCATTGTCCAATTCAGAGGCTGAAAGTTCCTTGATTGTTCGATTGTCTACATCCATGTATTGTTCCTCTTCCAAGTCCGTTTCAGCTTCAGATTCAGGTTCGGAACTAGAACTAGAGGGATTGAGTTATGGCTGCTTCCTCTTCCTTCTCAAAGTTCGCTCGAAATCGTCTTCAAAATCCAATATGTGCGCACGAACAAGGTGTGAACTTCGAGTCATAAACTAGTACCTAAAACAAAGAAAACAAAACAAAATCAGAAACACAAGAAAAATGAAAACAAACGGAAGATTAGCAATTTTGCTAATCCCCGGCAACGGCGCCAAAATTTGGCATGAGAAATAACTAACTCACAAATTAAACCCTATAAATCATGCAATCGTAGTATGAGTAAGTAGGGATCGTTCTATTCCGGGGATTAGGAGGGATGCTAATCAACACAAATTAAACTTATTAAACTGGAAACTAAGTTAAGGGAACAATGATTGGGGGGAATTCTGACTATTTAGACTAAAGTAAGACTGACAGCAGCAAACAACTAAGTTGTGAATGAAATATGGATTAAGGGATAGCTAGAGGATTCTTCTCCACACATGGAACATTTGCACACAAATCGATCTCCAGTTACTCTTTCTATAAAGTATGAATGACAAAGCCCCAAATTAATTGTGAATGCACTAATTAACTCTCAGATTTTCCTAAGTTCATTGAATTGGACTCAGCGACGCAATCAAATTATCCTTATCAAGTTCCCTATATGAACAGCATGATAGAGATACATATCAAAGATCATTAAGTTCTATGAAAATCATAAGCCTTGACAAGGCATTTGTAACTATGAAAAGCATGATACTCCTGCCAGGAATTTACTTAACGCAATCATGACTAGTGACTTTTACTACTTGTGAATATAAGTTCATAACGATTAGGTGAAATTCCCTTATATTCTAGCATCAAATCCCTGCAAGCAAACTAAGTATGCATCCTTAATAAACATACAAGAATAAGTTCTCAATAAAACAGAAAAGTAAATCACATGCATACTTTATGAAACCATAATTGGAAGTAATCAATTCATATAAAACATATGTCCATGGCTTCGAATTCACCTCTAACTAAGAAGAAATTCAGTCACACATGTTCATAATAATTGAAAAGCAATCTAGAATAAACATTTGAACTAATTAAGGGAAGAACTTTGAAAAACCCAATGGATGCAGTAGGTTCCGGCTCCAAGTTCTTCTTCCCTCTTTCTCCTTCTTGCTACTACACAAAAAACTCCCTTCTCTTGCAGCAACCCCTCCTTTATATATGTGGTATATCTAGGGTAAAAGGGCCCAGCAGAAACCCACGAAATTAGGGTTTTGTTTGGCAGATTTCTTTAGGAACAAAGATAGGGCCCAACAGAAACCCACGAAATTAGGGTTTTTAGGTTTCCTAATCTGAAATTAATCCCCCCCTTTTCCAGCTGGAATTTAGGTCGAATAGGATTCGGATAAGGTAAAATAAAATAAAATCAGTTAGGGTTTTTTACTTCGCAGAAACTGATTCTTGAATTAATTTCCCCATCTTTTTAGCACATTCCTACCCACTTCGAACTTAAAAAACGTCCATCCATCTTGGCCCATGCATATGCTATCCATTCCAAGTCCAAAACTGCTAAAAATGCTCCGAAATGCCCTTTCTTGCCAATCTTGCCATCTGGACCTACAATAGTACGAAAATAAGCTAAATCACTCTAATAAATGGGAATTAACTAAGTAAATGCAAAGAAATAAGATAGCAAAGTCGCATAAATATGCTCCTATCACAGAACACACTTCGTTCGAACCTGAATTGTCCGATTTCAAGGACCAATCGATATCGGATTGAGTCAAAAACTTGGGGAATAACATAATGTGGTGGGATGACTTATTTGTTGGGTTTTGAGTGAAATCCAATTGCCAAAACTATGCAATACACCAACCACTCCATTTAAGAACAAACTTCATACGAACTTGAATTGTCCGATTTCATGGACCAATCGATATCGGGTTGAGTCCAAAACTTGGGGAACCTCATAATATGGGGGGAGGAGTCATTTGGTGGGTTTTGAGTGAAATCCAATGGCTAAAACTATGCAATACACCAACTACTCCATTTAAGAACGAACTTCGTACGAAACCTGAATTGTCCAATTTCAGGGACCAATCGATATCGGGTTGAGTCCAAAACTTGGGGAACATCAAAATATGGTGGAAGGATTCATTTGGTGGTTTTGAGTGAAATCCAATGGCTAAAACTATGCAAACACCAACCACTCCATTTCAGAACGAACTTCGTACGAACTTGAATTGTCCGATTTCATGGCCCAATCGATAACGATTGAGTCCAAAACTTGGGGAACATCATAATATGTTGGGAGGAGTCATTTGGTGGGTTTTGAGTGAAATCCAATCCCTAAAACTATGCAATACACCAACCACAACTTCTGAGAACGAACTTCGTACAAACCTGAATTGTCCGATTTCATGGACCAATCGATATAGGGTTGAGTCCAAAACTTGGGGAACATCATAATATGGTGGAAGGAGTCATTTTGTGGGTTTTGAGTGAAGTCCAAGTGTCAAAACTATGCAATACACCAAACACTCCATTTCAGAACGAACTTCGTACGAAACCTGAATTGTCCGATTTCAGGGACCAATCGAGATTAGGTTGAGTCCAAAACTTGGGGAACATCATAATATGGTGGGAGGAGTCATTTGGTGGGTTTTAAGTAAAATCCAATTGCTAAAACTATGTAATACACCACCCACTTCTTTTCAGAGCAAACTTCGTATGAACCTGAATTGTCCGATTTCGTGGACCAATCAATATCGGATTGAGTCTAAAACTTGGGGAACAACGCAATATGGGGGGAGTAGTCATTGGGTGGGTTTTAAGTAAAATCCAATGGCTAAAACTATGCAATACACCAACCACTCCAATTCAGAACGAACTTCGTTCGAACCTGTATTGTTCGATTTCATGGACCAATCGATATCGGATTGAGTCCAAAACTTGGGGAACAACACAATATGGTGGGCGGACTTATTTGTTGGGTTTTGAGTGAAATCCAATTGCCAAAACTGTGCAATACACCAACCACTCCATTTAAGAACAAATTTCATACGAACTTGAATTGTCCGATTTCATGGACCAATCAAGATCGGGTTGAGTCCAAAACTTGGGGAACCACATAATATGGGGGGAGGAGTCATTTGGTGGTTTGGAGTGAAATCCAATGGCTAAAACTATGCAATATAACAACCACTCCATTTCAGAACGAACTTCTACGAAACCTGAATAGTCCGATTTCAGGGACCAATCGATATCGGATTGAGTCCAAAACTTGGGGAACAACATAATATGGTGGGAGGAGTCATTTGGTGGGTTTTGAGTGAAATCCAACTGGCTAAAACTATGCAATACAACAACCACTACATTTCAGAACGAACTTCTACGAAACCTGAATTGTCCGATTTCAGGGACCAATCGATATCGGGTTGAGTCACTTGGTAGGTTTCAAGTGAAATCCAATTGCTAAAACTATGCAATACACCAACCACTCCATTTCGGAACGAACTTCGTACGAAACCTGAATTGTCCAATTTTGGGGACCAATCGAGATAGGGTTGAGTCCAAAACTTGGGGAACATCATAATATGGTGGTAGGAGTCATTTGGTGGGTTTTGAGTGAAATCCAATTGCCAAAACTATGCAAAAAAACAACCACTACATTTCATAACGAACTTCGTACGAAACCTGAATTGTCCGATTTCAGGGACTAATCGAGATCGGATTGAGTCCAAAACTTGAGGAACATCATAATATGGTGGGAGGAGTCATTTGGTGAATTTTGAGTGAAATCCAATTGCTAAAACTATGCAATACACCAACCACTCCAGTTCATAACGAACTTCGTACTAACCTGAATTGTCCAATTTCATGGACCAATCGATATCGGATTGAGTCTAAAACTTGGGGAACACCGTAATATGGGGGGAGTAGTCATTTCATGGGTTTCAGAACGCACTTCGTACGAACCTAAATTGTCCGTTTTCATGAACCAATCGATATCGGATTGAGTCCAAAACATGGGGAACAACATAATGTTGTGGGTGGAGTTGTTTGGTGGTTTTGAGTGAAATCCAATTGCTAAAACTATGCAATACACCAAACACTCCATTTCAGAACGAACTTCGTACGAACCTGAATTTTCCGATTTCATTGACCAATCGATATCGGGTTGAGTCCAAAACTTGGGAAACATCACAATATGGTGGGAAGAGTCATTTGGTGGGTTCTGAGTGAAATCCAATGGCTAAAACTATGCAATACACCAACCACTCCTTTTCAGAACGAACTTCGTACAAACATCAATTGTCCAATTTCATGGACCAATCGATATCGGTTTGAGTCCAAAACTTGGAGAACATCTAAATATGGTGGGAGGAGTTATTTTGGGTTTTGAGTGAAATCCAATGGCTAAAACTATGCAATCCACCAACCACTCGTTTTCAGAAGGAACTTCGTAGGAACCTAAATTGTAAGATTTCATACACCAATCGATATCAGATTGAGTCCAAAACTTGGGCAACATCACAATATGGATAGGAGTCATTTGGTGGGTTTTGAGTGAAATCCAATTGCTAAAACTATGTAATCCACCGACCACTCCATTTTAGAACGAACTTCGTATGAACCTGAATTGTCCGGCTTCATGGACCAATAGATATCAGATTGATTCCAAACCTTGGGGAATATCTAATATGGTGGGAGGAGTCATTTCGTGGGTTTTGAGTGACATCCAGTTGCTAAAACTATACAATACACCAACCACTTCGTTTCATAACGAACTTCGTATGAACCTCAATTGTCCAATTTCCGGGACCAATCGATATCGGGTTGAGTCCAAAACTTGGGGAACATCAAAATATGGTGGGAGGAGTCCTTTAGAGGGTTTTGAGTGAAATCCAATTGCTAAAACTATGCAATACACCAACCACTCCATTTTAGAACGAGCTTCGTACGAAAC